GATACACTGGTTATTACAGTCACTGCTACTGATGCGGACGAGGGTCTGAATAGTGAAATTACCTATCAGTTTGATGATCATGTGTCAAATAAAGACAGTAATGCGTTTTCCATTGATTCCAAAACTGGACACGTCACGGTGAAAAATTATATTGACTATGAAAAAACATCTTCCTATGAAATGCCAATCAGTGCCAAAGATGGTTTAGGGCTGGTCTCCTATGCAACTTTAATGATTGATATCACTGATGTAAATGACAATGCTCCTATCATTAAACTGAAGTCATTGTCCAATCAGATCCCTGAGAATGTGTCTCCTGGTACAGAGGTGGGCATCATTAATGTACAGGACAGAGACTCAGAGAACAACAGACAGGTCCGCTGCTCCCTTCAGACTGGGGTCCCTTTCAAGTTAGTACCTTCCATTAAAAACTATTATTCTCTAGTGACCACAGAACAGCTGGACCGTGAGCTAGTGTCTGATTACAACATTACAATCAGTGCCACTGACGAGGGCTCTCCCCCTCTGTCCTCCTCTAAAACTGTCCACTTAACTGTAGCTGACATCAATGACAACCCTCCTGTGTTTGAGGAGCAGTCCTACAGCGCACATGTGACTGAAAACAACAAACCTGGCTCCACTTTATGTTCTGTTGCCGCTCGAGACCCAGACTGGAGACAAAACGGGACAGTGGTTTATTCTCTGTTACCTGGTGAGGTGAATGGGGCCCCAGTGTCCTCCTATGTCTCTGTTAATGGAGACACAGGGGTGATCCATGCTGTGAGGGCTTTTGATTATGAACACTTCAGGAGTTTTAAAGTCCATGTGATGGCCAGAGACAATGGCTCTCCTCCACTCAGCAGCAACGTGACAGTCACTGTGTTTATATCTGATGTGAACGACAACTCTCCTCAAATACTGTACCCCACCCCGGAGGGGAACTCCTTCATGACTGAACTGGTCCCTAAAGCTGCACATGCAGGCTCTCTGGTGTCCAAAGTGATAGCAGTGGACGCAGACTCTGGACAGAACGCCTGGCTGTCCTATCACATCGTCAAATCCACTGATCCTGGACTTTTTACTATTGGTCTCCACAGTGGAGAGATCAGGAGCCAGCGGGACATCTCTGAGTCTGACAGCATGAAACAGAACCTTATTGTGGCAGTGAAGGATAACGGACAGCCTCCTCTCTCTGCCACCTGCTCCATGTATTTACTGATCTCTGATAACTTGGCTGAAGTGCCTGAACTCAAGGACATTTCTTATGATGAGAGGGACTCAAAGCTGACATCCTATCTGATCATTGCACTGGTGTCAGTGTCCACATTTTTCCTCACCTTCATTATTATTGTCCTGGGTGTGAGGTTCTGTCGCAGGAGGAAGCCCAGACTGTTGTTTGATGGAGCAGTTGCAATCCCCAGTGGTTATCTGCCTCCTAATTATGCAGATGTTGACGGCACAGGAACTTTACGCAGCACTTACAACTATGATGGATACATGACAACTGGATCCAGGACAAGTGACTTTAAGTTTGTCTCGTCCTACAATGACAACACACTGCCTGCAGATCAGACACTGAGGAAAAGCCCCACTGACTTCTCTGATGTTTTTGGAGATTGTGATGTTTCTCCTGAGGTAGGCACAAAGCATTATTATTTTTTTCTTTGATTATTACTTTTTCATACACATGCCTAAACGATATCAGTGCTGTTTTGTCGCTATGATTTTATAGTATTTATATCCAGATGGACCTTTTGGGTTTTGCGATGCTTTGGAATGCACAGGAATACATTAACTATTATTATTATTATTATTATTATTATTATTATTATTATTATAGTCTTTATTATGAGAACGTGACAATGCAACAATTTTAATTGTTGCAAGTTGCTAGAAGGAATCCTTGTTTACAGTATTATTGGATACAGTATTCACTTTGTGACTATATAGTTGAGCAGAGGAGGCCCCTCTGAGCTTTTTATTAAGCACGTGAAGATAGTTTGTATGTGAATTAAGGGTGCCTTGTAGTTGTGCGTCAAGTAATAAAGTCATTCTGGAACAACATTGGCACTTTCCACTGTTTAAGAATACATGATCTGGAAATTGTTTACTAATATAGTAGTAATGTTGTTTCATTCGATCCACCATCAGGACCCAGTACTGGATATGTTGTAGGTTAAAATGCACTTTCTCTCCTTAGTTAATCCATCCGTATGGGTCATTCATATTTTTTTATTACAATTTTTAAAACTCTAATCAAATTATATATTTATTCCAACCATATAATCTATTGGAAGCCTTATGACAATATGTGGCATTTACATGGGAAATGATGACTTAAATCTCCTTCACTTGTGGCATTGTTTTCACATGGAAACTCTTTTGCTCTGTCTATGGTGCTGAAGAGTGTAAAGAGAACACTGAGGTTATTTTATCTTCACCTCCTTAACTTGTGCGTTGCTTCAACACAATAACCCTAAACATAATTCAAAGGCTTCAAACATTTATATTCTAAAAAGTATTGTTTTCACAATGACTTAATTTCTTGGACTAAGTTGATTGTGTAGTATTCATCAAATTGAAGAAGAGAGAGAGAAAAAAAAAAAACTGAATGGGGGACGTCCTCAGTGATGGTTGTGGTTTTCCTTGGTGAGGATTGAGAAGTTTTGTTGAGGAATGTTGGCTTCTATGTTTGTATATAGTTTGGTAACTTTGGAGAGTTTTATTTCTATCAAAGAAAAAAAAAAAAAAACAGGAAACAAAGGTGTGATTTTGTGAAGGTATCTTCACTTGAGTGTGAATATTATTTAATCCCCTAAACTTTGGGGATTTTGACCTGTCCCCTGGGGTACTCAGGAAAATGAATTCTAATTAAACTAATTCGAATTAATTAGTTTAAAATATACACGTGCATATATGTATTTTTCAAAGAGATTTTAGGTCTGAATATGAAAGCAACACTGGTATCCACTAGAAAATGCATTATGTCTTTTAACTGAATTTTTAAATTCTTTAACTTTACACGTTTTTTTTTTTTTTTTTTTATCCCACCAATAATTTTGACCTCATTTATCAAATATCCACATTCTTATTTTAAATGCTTCTCTTTTATTTTAATACCATCCTATATCATTGATACAAAAACTGCCAATGCAGATCAGACACTGAAAAAAATGACTTTTGTCATGTTTGGGGTTTGTAATGTTTCTCCTGAGGTATAACTGAGCTTTTAGCCAATAGTTGGAATTTCCAAAACAAAATTTTACTACAAGGTATTTCACAATTTCAGTTTCTAATAAGATAAAGGAATGAGGTCTAATGTATAGCTTTCTCTTTCTCTTTTGTGTAATTCTAACAGTTGATATAAAAGTAGAAATAGACAGCGCTTTATGTCATGGCTTTTACATAGTCTAATAAGTGTTGCAGTGGACAACTTACTCACTCACTCACTCACTCACTCAGTCAGTCTTATATATTGATTTACATGCATTCATTATTTGCTTTTTGTAAGAGCATAAATTCACAATATTTTATCTTTTACTTTTTGGTTTGGTGGTTTTATTTAAGGCTTTCCATATATTGTGAGGCTATCAGAGTTTTGCTGTGCATCAGTTCGTGGAGTAAAATTAGACATGATCAGTGACTACATTTAGTTTTGTTGATCTTGTAGCTGTAATACATTTGAGGCTAAAGTTAGATTTTAAAAAAGGTGATATGATGACTTGCAGAAATATGATCTCTCTTTCTGTTCAGTTTCTTGTCGTTCTTCAAACACACTCTTGGTGTCAGTATTTACCTGTGAACGGTGCTGCGTGTTTATTCCCCTCCCTTATTTTTCAGATGGTGGAAAGAATCCGGACATTTTTAGAATACGGTCAGCTTTCAGTTTATCATTTTAAGAACTAAATGAGCACGCACATATTCAACTAAAGATTACAACCGCTATTAACAAGGAAAATAATGGACGGGAAAAGGCAAATTTTTCTGTGGTATTTGGCCTTCATTTTTTTCGATTTTCATCTTTGCCATGGAGACATCAGTTATTCTATTCCAGAGGAGATGAAACGTGGATCCGTGATCGGAAATATCGCGAAGGATATTGGACTGGATTTGGGCAGGTTGTCCGCTCGCAGGGCGCGCGTGGACTCCGAGGACAAAAGAGTCCAGTACTGCAGCGTGAACCTGAACACGGGAGAGCTGGTTGTTCAGGAGAGGATTGACAGAGAGGGCCTTTGTGCGAAGAAGACTTCATGTATTCTGAAACAGGAGCTCGTGCTGGAAAACCCTTTGGAGCTGCATCGCTTTAATATCCGCGTACAGGACATAAACGACAACGCACCACAATTTAAAGAGGAACACGCTTAAATTTGAGATCCGTGAATCAACTGAGAAGGGAGCACGATATCCATTAGATGAAGCTTACGATGGAGACATTGGGGAAAATAGTGTTCAGACTTACACCCTGCAAGACAACAAACATTTTGCACTGGAACGTTAAAAACAAAGAGCAATGGCCGAAAGTATAGTGAATTAGTTTTGGACCAAAAATTAGACAGAGAGAGTAATAACGAGATCACACTTGTGTTGACTGCGTTTGATGGCGGCTCTCCTCAGAGATCAGGCACAGTAGTCATCCATGTCACTGTTCTTGACGCTAATGATAATGCGCCAGTGTTTAGTCAGACTGTGTATAAAGCGAGTCTTCCAGAAAACTCTCCTCCAGATACACTGGTTATTACAGTCACTGCTACTGATGCTGACGAGGGAGTGAACGGTGAAATAATATATGGCTTTGACCACCCATCGGATGACGATAAAATATTTACGTTGAACCCGTCCACTGGGGAGGTTAGAGTTGCAAAATCTATAGATTATGAAGAAGAATCATCATATGAAATTCAAATTAGTGCAAAAGATGGACTTGGACTGGCTTCTTATGCAACTTTATTTGTTGAAATTGTAGATGTAAATGACAATGCTCCTGTTATATTTCTGCAATCACTGTCCAATCAGATCCCTGAGAATGTGTCTCCTGGTACAGAGGTGGGCATCATTAATGTACAGGACAGAGACTCAGAGAACAACAGACAGGTCCGCTGCTCCCTTCAGACTGGGGTCCCTTTCAAGTTAGTACCTTCCATTAAAAACTATTATTCTCTAGTGACCACAGAACAGCTGGACCGTGAGCTAGTGTCTGATTACAACATTACAATCAGTGCCACTGACGAGGGCTCTCCCCCTCTGTCCTCCTCTAAAACTGTCCACTTAACTGTAGCTGACATCAATGACAACCCTCCTGTGTTTGAGGAGCAGTCCTACAGCGCACATGTGACTGAAAACAACAAACCTGGCTCCACTTTATGTTCTGTTGCCGCTCGAGACCCAGACTGGAGACAAAACGGGACAGTGGTTTATTCTCTGTTACCTGGTGAGGTGAATGGGGCCCCAGTGTCCTCCTATGTCTCTGTTAATGGAGACACAGGGGTGATCCATGCTGTGAGGGCTTTTGATTATGAACACTTCAGGAGTTTTAAAGTCCATGTGATGGCCAGAGACAATGGCTCTCCTCCACTCAGCAGCAACGTGACAGTCACTGTGTTTATATCTGATGTGAACGACAACTCTCCTCAAATACTGTACCCCACCCCGGAGGGGAACTCCTTCATGACTGAACTGGTCCCTAAAGCTGCACATGCAGGCTCTCTGGTGTCCAAAGTGATAGCAGTGGACGCAGACTCTGGACAGAACGCCTGGCTGTCCTATCACATCGTCAAATCCACTGATCCTGGACTTTTTACTATTGGTCTCCACAGTGGAGAGATCAGGAGCCAGCGGGACATCTCTGAGTCTGACAGCATGAAACAGAACCTTATTGTGGCAGTGAAGGATAACGGACAGCCTCCTCTCTCTGCCACCTGCTCCATGTATTTACTGATCTCTGATAACTTGGCTGAAGTGCCTGAACTCAAGGACATTTCTTATGATGAGAGGGACTCAAAGCTGACATCCTATCTGATCATTGCACTGGTGTCAGTGTCCACATTTTTCCTCACCTTCATTATTATTGTCCTGGGTGTGAGGTTCTGTCGCAGGAGGAAGCCCAGACTGTTGTTTGATGGAGCAGTTGCAATCCCCAGTGGTTATCTGCCTCCTAATTATGCAGATGTTGACGGCACAGGAACTTTACGCAGCACTTACAACTATGATGGATACATGACAACTGGATCCAGGACAAGTGACTTTAAGTTTGTCTCGTCCTACAATGACAACACACTGCCTGCAGATCAGACACTGAGGAAAAGCCCCACTGACTTCTCTGATGTCTTTGGAGATTGTGATGTCTCTCCTGAGGTAGGCAAAAAAGCATTTTTTCTGTAATTCTTACTTTTAATCGTCACATTTTATACATGAGTAAACAATATCAATACTGTATTGTATTTGCAATTTTATATTTTTTCTGTCCAAACAGACCTTTAGGGTTTGACAATGTTTCGGAATTCATCAACCGATCATTTTTATATCAAGATTTGTATTATTATCTTTCTTAATGTCTGTTAATTGTTACAACAATTTTAATTGTTACGACTTGTTAGAAGGAATCCAATATATTCTACACACATTGTGGTTAGACATTCTTGCAGAAGAGGCAACTCTAAGCTTTTTATTAAGAAGTGACGGTAGCTTGAATGTAAGTTAAAGCCTTGTACTTGTGCTTGCAGTAATAAACTCATTGTGGAGCAACACTGGCACTTTACACTGTTTTGGAATATGTGCTCTGAATTGTGTATTTAATGTTGTTGCAGTCAACCAACATCAGGACCCAGTGTTGGATATATAGGTTTAAATGCACTTACTTAAATGTACTTACCGTGTGGGTAATTAATATTATTATATAAATATATATATATATATATATATATATATATAATTTTTAAATTTTTTTATTTTTTACTTTATTTTAACCATAGAATCTTTTGTGTAAACTCCAAGACATAGCATTTCCCTTGGAAATTATGGCTTAAATCTCCATCACTTGTAGCATGGTTTTCTCTTGGATTCTCATTTGCTCTGTCTATGGTACTGAAGAGTGTAGATTTAAGATTGTGGTCATTATGTCTTCACCTCCTGAAATGATTCATTGCTTTAACACAAGTCTTAGAAATAGTCGTAGTACTGTGTAGTCTGTAGTCTGTAGTGTTTATCAAATTGAAGAATAGAAAGAATACTGAATGAGAGACGTCCTGATGGTTGTGGTTTTCCTTTCTGAGGGTTGAGGAGTTGTCTTGAGGAATGATGGTTTATGTGTTTGTTTATAGTTTGATTTCTTTGGAGAGTTTTATTTTTAACAAAATTAACTGTAAATAAAGATGTGATTCAGGAGATACCTTCACTTGTGTGTGGATGCAACATAAGCAAAACATTTGGGGATCATGAGGTGTCCCCCTGGGCACTCATGAAATCTATTTATAATGATACTATCTGCATTTATCTAACTTTTTTTTTTTCAAGCAAATTTTAACTCTGAATATAAAAGCAGCATTTCTGACTCCTATAAAATGCATTATATCCTTTTTTTTTTAATTGACAGTTTAAAATGGTTAATTTTACACTTTTTTAAATTCCTACAAATAATTTTGACCTCATTTACCAAATATGCAGACTCATTTTCAATCCTCTTTTCTTCCAATATGACCCTATATCATGAAAACAAAAACTGTCAATGCAGCGCAGACGCTGAGAAAAAGCTCAGCTGACATTTCTTTTATAATATCTCTCCTGAGGTATGACTGAGCATGTAATCACTAGTGGTAATTTCCAAAGCTAACTCCTAGTGCGTGACTTCTTAAAATATGAATGTTTCATAAGGTAAAGAAATGTGATTTGATTCTAAAGTTAGAATAAAATATAAGTGATCTGATGTTATGATCAGAAACATCTGTATGTTTGCCATGTTTTATTTCTCTGTCCATGGTGCTGATATGTATTCTAAAATGTAATACTAATTTAGATTTACATGTATCACTCTGTTCTCTTTTATTTGTTGTTTTATTGTTAAAACAGCTCTCAACTCGCATGGAACTTTATTCTTAACTGAATGGGTGTATAAGCTGGTTGTTGTCTTGTATAAAATACCAATATTTCGTTGTTAAGTCTCTCAGTTGTGCAGCCTTAACAACAATAAGCAAAATAACACAATAATAATAATAATAACGGAAAGAAAGAATGAAAACATTGCAATGCTGCAATAACATTAAAACTGCTATTTTTATGGACTTTTATTAAAACCCTAGATTCGACTTCTCCCCATTGTTGCACTCTGATATTGATTCACGCCGTTTTAATATGTTTTTGCTTGGCAGAACATAAATACAGACTTGTCGTTCCTCAAAACACACTCTTGGTGTCAGTATTTACCAGTGAACGGTGCAGCGTGTTCATTCTCCTCCCTTCTTTATCACGTTGTGTAAAGAATCAGCATATTTTTACAGAACGGTGAGCTTTCAATGCACCGTTTTTAGGTTTAAATTAACGCGCACTAAAGATTATAAACCCAGTTAACAAGGGATAAATAATGGGCAGCAAAAGGCGCAGTTTTCTGGTGTATTTGGCGTTTATATTTTTCACTTTTTATCTTTGCCATGGAGACATCAGTTATTCTGTTCCAGAGGAAATGAAACGTGGATCCGTGATCGGAAATATCGCGAAGGATATTGGACTGGATTTGGGCAGGTTGTCCGCTCGCAGGGCGCGCGTGGACTCCGAGGACAAAAGAGTCCAGTACTGCAGCGTGAACCTGAACACGGGAGAGCTGGTTGTTCAGGAGAGGATTGACAGAGAGGGCCTTTGTGCGAAGAAGACTTCATGTATTCTGAAACAGGAGCTCGTGCTGGAAAACCCTTTGGAGCTGCATCGCTTTAATATCCGCGTACAGGACATAAACGACAACGCACCACAGTTTAAAGAGGACACGCTTAATTTTGAGATCCGTGAATTGGCTGATAAGGGAGCACGATATCCATTAGATGAAGCTTACGATGGAGACATTGGGGAAAATAGTGTTCAGGGTTACACCCTGCAAGACAACAAACACTTTGCACTGGACGTAAAAACAAAGAGCAATGGCCGAAAGTATAGTGAATTAGTTTTGGACAAGGAGTTAGACAGAGAGGAAAATAACGAGATCACACTTGTGTTGACTGCGTTTGATGGCGGCTCTCCTCAGAGATCAGGCACAGTAGTCATCCATGTCACTGTTCTTGACGCTAATGATAATGCGCCAGTGTTTAGTCAGACTGTGTATAAAGCGAGTCTTCCAGAAAACTCTCCTCCAGATACACTGGTTATTACAGTCACTGCTACTGATGCAGACGAGGGAATAAACGGTCAAATAACGTATGGATTTGATCATCCTTCGGATGACGATAAAAGTATTTTTACTTTGAAATCCCTCCACTGGGGAGGTTAGAGTTGCTCAGTCTTTGGATTATGAAGAAGAATCATCATATGAAATTCAAATTAGTGCAAAAGATGGACTTGGACTGGCTTCTTATGCAACTTTATTTGTTGAAATTTTAGACATAAATGACAATGCTCCTGTTATATTTCTGCAATCACTGTCCAATCAGATCCCTGAGAATGTGTCTCCTGGTACAGAGGTGGGCATCATTAATGTACAGGACAGAGACTCAGAGAACAACAGACAGGTCCGCTGCTCCCTTCAGACTGGGGTCCCTTTCAAGTTAGTACCTTCCATTAAAAACTATTATTCTCTAGTGACCACAGAACAGCTGGACCGTGAGCTAGTGTCTGATTACAACATTACAATCAGTGCCACTGACGAGGGCTCTCCCCCTCTGTCCTCCTCTAAAACTGTCCACTTAACTGTAGCTGACATCAATGACAACCCTCCTGTGTTTGAGGAGCAGTCCTACAGCGCACATGTGACTGAAAACAACAAACCTGGCTCCACTTTATGTTCTGTTGCCGCTCGAGACCCAGACTGGAGACAAAACGGGACAGTGGTTTATTCTCTGTTACCTGGTGAGGTGAATGGGGCCCCAGTGTCCTCCTATGTCTCTGTTAATGGAGACACAGGGGTGATCCATGCTGTGAGGGCTTTTGATTATGAACACTTCAGGAGTTTTAAAGTCCATGTGATGGCCAGAGACAATGGCTCTCCTCCACTCAGCAGCAACGTGACAGTCACTGTGTTTATATCTGATGTGAACGACAACTCTCCTCAAATACTGTACCCCACCCCGGAGGGGAACTCCTTCATGACTGAACTGGTCCCTAAAGCTGCACATGCAGGCTCTCTGGTGTCCAAAGTGATAGCAGTGGACGCAGACTCTGGACAGAACGCCTGGCTGTCCTATCACATCGTCAAATCCACTGATCCTGGACTTTTTACTATTGGTCTCCACAGTGGAGAGATCAGGAGCCAGCGGGACATCTCTGAGTCTGACAGCATGAAACAGAACCTTATTGTGGCAGTGAAGGATAACGGACAGCCTCCTCTCTCTGCCACCTGCTCCATGTATTTACTGATCTCTGATAACTTGGCTGAAGTGCCTGAACTCAAGGACATTTCTTATGATGAGAGGGACTCAAAGCTGACATCCTATCTGATCATTGCACTGGTGTCAGTGTCCACATTTTTCCTCACCTTCATTATTATTGTCCTGGGTGTGAGGTTCTGTCGCAGGAGGAAGCCCAGACTGTTGTTTGATGGAGCAGTTGCAATCCCCAGTGGTTATCTGCCTCCTAATTATGCAGATGTTGACGGCACAGGAACTTTACGCAGCACTTACAACTATGATGGATACATGACAACTGGATCCAGGACAAGTGACTTTAAGTTTGTCTCGTCCTACAATGACAACACACTGCCTGCAGATCAGACACTGAGGAAAAGCCCCACTGACTTCTCTGATGTTTTTGGAGATTGTGATGTCTCTCCTGAGGTAAGGAATTGATCTCCAAGTCACATTATACCTAAAACTTTTTCTCTCTGCTTTCAGTTTTGCAATCTTATGAATTTTATTTTTTTTTTAAAAGACATTACATCTTCCTTTTTATAAGCTTGTTTACAGCTTACAAAAAGCAGTAACTGAAATCTTCCTGTGAAATTGTTTGCAACCTGTTAAACTAAAATGTCAGTCACAAAATTATTTTTGTTTTCATATATAAAATGAACCATGTCTGTCCAATACTGAGATTTATATATATAGTTTCTCAAAGTATTATTTCAATCAAACATATAAATGTACAAGTTTGTTAGTTAGATTAATACAGGAATTTGTATTTTGCAGGTATGAAATAGTTACCAACAAGAGGATTTTTTTTTAGTTGTACCCAATTTAAACGGGGATTAGGCCTGTTTTTTTTTTTTTTTTTTTTTTTTTTTTTTTTTTTTTTGATAATTATAATGACATAGTTAATGTTTTGTTTTTATTGCAATTAATCACATCACACATGAGGCTGATTTCTCAAAGGCTGCACTCACATATCTGTTGGTGTTGAACTGACTCAAGCCTGGCCCTGATGTTCACTTGCTTTGGTCCTGTTCATATTGTCCTGGTTTAGTCCTGATTCAACCCAGGTTAAGTTTCAGGTGTAGTCCTGCTTTAGTCCCAATTTCATGTGGATGATAGTGCGAGTGTGAATGCACCCTGAATGTCTCATTGTGATTGGTCTGTTTCAAACACCAATTTTTATTTTTTTTATTTTATCTTTTTATTTTCTAGTGTTTTTCTTTCAACATATTTTAACACAAACTATAAGGTCAGTTTGACTGTTGAAAGACACTGATTTAAAATGACTCCTGTTCCAAAGATAAAGTGTTATCTTAGCTTTTCTTTTACTTCTCTTGTAATTCTACATACTTCATTATCTTTTCATGATTTTGATGAAATCATAATAAAGCAACATAGAGGTAATATCTGTAACTCCCACAGCAGTTATTTTAACTTTACTCCATACATTTCAATGTCATTTTTGAATTATTTTTTATTATTCAAAAATGTTTGAGGAGTTTCAAACTTCTTGTAAACCTAATGTGAACTTTTGTGCATATCAGCTGTAGAAGTAAACGGTGTGACTTTGGCCTCTTTAGAATAGACCTTTTGGCGCATCATTCAGTTACTGTTTCTTTGCCCTCAACTGTTTCTGAATAATTTCCACTCGTTTACTGCAATGAAAAATAATACAATATTTCACGGAGGGGAACGTAGGTCTGTTGGACGTAGAACATGTGAAAATATTTTGATGGGCTAATTATTGTATTACTGTTTTCTTTCTTACTTTCATTTACCTCTTGGTGTCGCTCTATACCAGTCAAAGTCTTGTTGAGCACAGGCGTTCATCCACAGTCCCGTATGTAGTTTAGCTCTTACAAAGAATAGGTCGTTTATTCTTTGATTGCACACGGGTTTTACTTCTCATAACAGTGTGACGAGAAACACTCCATGGTGGATTTAAAAATGTCGTTGTTTCCGCTACTGGGATTGTTCGTGTTTCTTCACTGGCTGGATTTGACGCAGGGAGACTTGAGCTACACGCTTCCCGAGGAGATGAAAAAAGGAGCGGTAATCGGAAATATAGTGAAGGATCTGGGTCTGGAGAGAGGTGCATTAAGCCAAAGGAGAGCCCGTGTTGACACCGAGGGCTCAGACGAACGCTATTGTGAACTGAACTTGAAAAATGGAGAACTGTTTGTCGCAGGTAGAATTGACCGAGAAGGGCTTTGTGCGAAAAGATCGTCCTGTGTCCTGAAGCAAGAACTAGTGTTAGAGAATCCGCTTGAGCTTCGTCGTATACACCTACACATACAAGATATTAATGACAATCCACCACAATTCAATGAGAAAATTGTTGAGCTTGAAATAAGGGAAACTACAGTCAGGGGTGCTCGCTTTGTGATAGAGGAGGCGCACGATGCGGATGTGGGGCAGAATTCAATCCAACAATACAGTTTAAACAAAATGATCATTTTGTTTTAGTGGTAACTGGAAATATCATTGAGCTGGTTCTTGATAAAGAATTAGATCGTGAAAAACAACATGAAATTGATTTGATTTTGACAGCTTTTGATGGCGGGTCTCCACAGAGATCAGGGACCGTAGCCATACACGTCACTGTACTGGACGCTAATGATAACGCGCCTGTGTTCAGCCAGGCCGTGTATAAAGCCAGTCTGCCTGAAAACTCCCCTCTAGATACTGTAGTGCTTACTGTTAGTGCGACTGATGCAGATGAAGGCGTCAACGGTGATGTGAGTTATGATTTTGGACACGTTGCTGAAGATGTGAAAAAGGCTTTTAGTATAAATTCAAAAACAGGAGAAATAAGAGTTATTGGCAACATTGATCATGAAAACACTGCCACCTTTGAAATACGTGTTAAAGCAAAAGATGGATTAGGATTGTCAACTTATGCCATGGTGGAAATATCTGTCACTGATGTCAATGACAATGCTCCTGTTGTGAGTTTAAAAATCCCTGTCAGATACAATAGCAGAAAATACCCCTCCTGGTACAGAGGTGGGCATCATTAATGTACAGGACAGAGACTCAGAGAACAACAGACAGGTCCGCTGCTCCCTTCAGACTGGGGTCCCTTTCAAGTTAGTACCTTCCATTAAAAACTATTATTCTCTAGTGACCACAGAACAGCTGGACCGTGAGCTAGTGTCTGATTACAACATTACAATCAGTGCCACTGACGAGGGCTCTCCCCCTCTGTCCTCCTCTAAAACTGTCCACTTAACTGTAGCTGACATCAATGACAACCCTCCTGTGTTTGAGGAGCAGTCCTACAGCGCACATGTGACTGAAAACAACAAACCTGGCTCCACTTTATGTTCTGTTGCTGCTCGAGACCCAGACTGGAGACAAAACGGGACAGTGGTTTATTCTCTGTTACCTGGTGAGGTGAATGGGGCCCCAGTGTCCTCCTATGTCTCTGTTAATGGAGACACAGGGGTGATCCATGCTGTGAGGGCTTTTGATTATGAACACTTCAGGAGTTTTAAAGTCCATGTGATGGCCAGAGACAATGGCTCTCCTCCACTCAGCAGCAACGTGACAGTCACTGTGTTTATATCTGATGTGAACGACAACTCTCCTCAAATACTGTACCCCACCCCGGAGGGGAACTCCTTCATGACTGAACTGGTCCCTAAAGCTGCACATGCAGGCTCTCTGGTGTCCAAAGTGATAGCAGTGGACGCAGACTCTGGACAGAACGCCTGGCTGTCCTATCACATCGTCAAATCCACTGATCCTGGACTTTTTACTATTGGTCTCCACAGTGGAGAGATCAGGAGCCAGCGGGACATCTCTGAGTCTGACAGCATGAAACAGAACCTTATTGTGGCAGTGAAGGATAACGGACAGCCTCCTCTCTCTGCCACCTGCTCCATGTATTTACTGATCTCTGATAACTTGGCTGAAGTGCCTGAACTCAAGGACATTTCTTATGATGAGAGGGACTCAAAGCTGACATCCTATCTGATCATTGCACTGGTGTCAGTGTCCACATTTTTCCTCACCTTCATTATTATTGTCCTGGGTGTGAGGTTCTGTCGCAGGAGGAAGCCCAGACTGTTGTTTGATGGAGCAGTTGCAATCCCCAGTGGTTATCTGCCTCCTAATTATGCAGATGTTGACGGCACAGGAACTTTACGCAGCACTTACAACTATGATGGATACATGACAACTGGATCCAGGACAAGTGACTTTAAGTTTGTCTCGTCCTACAATGACAACACACTGCCTGCAGATCAGACACTGAGGAAAAGCCCCACTGACTTCTCTGATGTTTTTGGAGATTGTGATGTCTCTCCTGAGGTAGGCACAAACTGACAAAGAATTCACTGATATGTTTTTTTGATTATTACTTTTCTACAGTGTCAAATTTTATACATGCTTAGACTCTCTCTCATTGATTAATACGTAATTAATTTTCTCATTTTACAAAAATCTGCTTATATATTTTTTTTTGTTCATTGGTTGGGAAATGATCACATAAATCTTCACTTCTGGCATGATTTTCACATGTTTTCATACATTTTAGACATAATTTAATCATTTAAAAGACTTCAAAACATATATGTTTTGTTTTTTTTTTTTTTTTTTTTTCATAGTCGAGGCAATAATTCAGTGTTCCATCTCTTGATCTTATTAAATTTTGTTACGTCATTGAGAACTAACTTTTCACAATAAGATGTCCTCAGTGATGGTTGTGTTTTTTCTTTCTGAGGGCTGAGGAGTTGTGTTGAGGATCGCTGGCTTATGTGTTTGTGTACAGTTTGATTAGTTTGGAGAGTTCTCTTTCTAACACAAATAACATGGAACAAAGATGTGATTTTATGGAGATATCTTCACTTGAGTGTAAATGTTATTTAATCCCTTAAACTATGGGGATGATGAGGTGTCCGCCTGGGCACTCATGAAAATCAATTATAATGATATTAACTGCAATGAATATCTTAAAAAATGTGCATGTTGTTTGGGCTGATTTTAGCTCTGAATATGAAAGCTCCACTGTTTACCTTTTAAATGTCCTCTTTTCTCTTTCAATATGATCCTATATTATAAATATATAAACTGCCATTTCAGATCAGACACTGAGAAAAAGCCCAAGTGACTTTTTTATGTTTGGGGATTGTGATGTCTTTCCTAAGGTTTGAATGAGTATTTAATAATCACTAGTTGTCATTTCCCAAACTAACTATTAAGGCGAGGCATTTCACAATATCAATTTAAGTAAAGGAATGTTTTTTTTGTTTGTTTTGTTTTTGTTTTGTTTTTTGGATTATGTTATTCTGGTGGTTGATATAAAAAGAATTAATAGGAAGTAATTTATCACACTAAAAGATGCTGAGTTAAAAAATAACCCAACCTGTGAAAAATAATAACTCAGCACTGGGTCACTTTTGGGTTATTTTGATCTAGCAGTTCATTAGTTTAACCCAACTTTTTTTTTTTTTTTTCTACTCAATTCTGTGTTGTATTTTACTTCTCTGCTGGGTTAATTCTACTTAGTGTATGGTTTATGTGCTTATAATTTCAACCATAGCTTTATGTATGAAAACATATTTAAAAAAGGATAAAGCATTTTTATTAATAATTGCATTCAAAACATGTCACACCATTAATAGGAACACATTATGAATTCAGCAATAATTTTTTTTTTACTTGTTGTTACTTGCAGTGACAGAAGTTTGAGCGCTGAGTTGGTTTATCTCAGAATCTGGAACTTCAGTCTCAGAAGATTCCACTGTGAGACCAGAGAGAGACATGGGCGTGTTTACTGTTCAGATATTTCTGCTGACACTTCTTCTGCAAGGGCTTTATAACATGTAATATTATTTAACATAACACTAACATTTGTGATTCAGTAGAAGCTTTAGTGTCGACTCCTGACTCCAGAGCTCAGGACTGTGACACTGCAATTATCTCCACTGTGAGAGGAAAGAACGGAGAGAGAAGTCATATATTCAGCTAAAATGTCTTCCTCTGTAACAAATAGAGCCTGATAAATATAAAATCAAACCCAAATTAGGTGGACGTTTGTAAGAGATGTTCAGATCCTTAATAAAGAAACACAATGTTCATTTATATAGGTTATGGCTTTTACATAGAGTAAGATGTGATGCAGTGGACGACTGTTGTGAAAGTCTCACAAGAGTTATGTGCATGAGTCATTTTATAGGAGAACAAATTCATTACTTTGTAGTGGTCATATTTTAGACTTCTGTGTATAGCCAGAACCCTGCAATATTTTAGTTCATGGAGTGAAAATAAGTGGTCTGATTTTACTTCAGGAAATATGATCTTTGTTAGATTTTTATTTCTCTGTCCATGGTGCTGATACTTATTTTAAAATGTAATATCAATTTTGAGTCCTAACGATCACCCATAGTCTTTTGCTCATTTGTTATTGTTAAATCAACCTCACAACTCTCATTCTACTTGATTTTGATAGAATAGGTGTATGTGCTAGTGTTTGTCTTGCACAAAATTTTCATATGTCTTTGTTAAGTTTTTGGTCTTTCCTGATTTTCCGGCCTTGGCAACAATGACCAGTGAAGAATATTACTGTTAAAGAAATAGTAAGTAAAAGCGCAATAGAACATGAACAAAAAAAAATAAAACGTTTCTTTTTATTTAATCCTATCCTAGATTCTTCTCACTTTGATACTTCATTCTTGGTCACAAGTTATTTACACTTTTTACCTGGGAGAACATAAATACAAACTTGTCGTTCTTCAAACACACTCTTGGTGTCAGTATTTACCAGTGAACGGTGCAGCGTGTTCATTCTCCTCCCTCCTTTATCAGTCGTGGTAACGAATCCGCACATTTTTAGAATACGGTGTACTTTCAATGCACCATTTTAAGAATTAAATGAGCCCGTACACATTCTGCAGAAGATTATAACCAGATAATGGCCACAAACAAACGACATTTTCTGTGGTATTTGCCATTTGTTTTTATCATTTTTGATCCTTGTCATGGAGACATCAGTTATTCTGTTCCAGAGGAAATGAAACGTGGATCCGTGATCGGAAATATCGCGAAGGATATTGGACTGGATTTGGGCAGGTTGTCCGCTCGCAGGGCGCGGGTTGTTTCCGAGGACAACGGAGTCCAGTACTGCAGCGTGAACCTGAACACGGGAGAGCTGGTTGTTCAGGAGAGGATTGACAGAGAGGGCCTTTGTGCGAAGAAGACTTCATGTATTCTGAAACAGGAGCTCGTGCTGGAAAACCCTTTGGAGCTGCATCGCTTTAATATCCGCGTACAGGACATAAACGACAACACGCCGCAATTCACCGACGACTCACTTAAATTAGAAATTCGAGAATCAGCAGATAAAGGCACGAAGTTTGTTGTCGGTGAAGCACATGACGGAGATATAGGAGAAAATGCAGTGCAGGGCTACACCCTTCAGCAAAATGACAACTTTCAGTTAATGTATAAACCAAACTCTGCAGGACGAAAATATTGTGAGTTAATTTTGGACAAAGAATTAGACAGAGAGAGTAATAACGAGATCACACTTGTGTTGACTGCGTTTGATGGCGGCTCTCCTCAGAGATCAGGCACAGTAGTCATCCATGTCACTGTTCTTGACGCTAATGATAATGCACCAGTGTTTAGTCAGACTGTGTATAAAGCGAGTCTTCCAGAAAACTCTCCTCCAGATACACTGGTTATTACAGTCACTGCTACTGATGCGGACGAGGGAATACATAGCGACATCACGTATGTATTTGACCACGTGTCTGATGAAAACAGTGATGTTTTTTCAATAAATTCAAAAACAGGAGACGTGATTGTATCAGGCAAAATTGATTATGAAAAAACGACTTCATATGAATTGCATATTAGTGCAAAAGATGGATTAGGGCTGGTCTCTTATTCTACATTAATGGTTGAAATCACTGATGTTAATGACAATGCTCCTGTCATGATCTTAAACTCCCTGACAAATCAGATCCCTGAGAATGTGTCTCCTGGTACAGAGGTGGGCATCATTAATGTACAGGACAGAGACTCAGAGAACAACAGACAGGTCCGCTGCTCCCTTCAGACTGGGGTCCCTTTCAAGTTAGTACCTTCCATTAAAAACTATTATTCTCTAGTGACCACAGAACAGCTGGACCGTGAGCTAGTGTCTGATTACAACATTACAATCAGTGCCACTGACGAGGGCTCTCCCCCTCTGTCCTCCTCTAAAACTGTCCACTTAACTGTAGCTGACATCAATGACAACCCTCCTGTGTTTGAGGAGCAGTCCTACAGCGCACATGTGACTGAAAACAACAAACCTGGCTCCACTTTATGTTCTGTTGCCGCTCGAGACCCAGACTGGAGACAAAACGGGACAGTGGTTTATTCTCTGTTACCTGGTGAGGTGAATGGGGCCCCAGTGTCCTCCTATGTCTCTGTTAATGGAGACACAGGGGTGATCCATGCTGTGAGGGCTTTTGATTATGAACACTTCAGGAGTTTTAAAGTCCATGTGATGGCCAGAGACAATGGCTCTCCTCCACTCAGCAGCAACGTGACAGTCACTGTGTTTATATCTGATGTGAACGACAACTCTCCTCAAATACTGTACCCCACCCCGGAGGGGAACTCCTTCATGACTGAACTGGTCCCTAAAGCTGCACATGCAGGCTCTCTGGTGTCCAAAGTGATAGCAGTGGACGCAGACTCTGGACAGAACGCCTGGCTGTCCTATCACATCGTCAAATCCACTGATCCTGGACTTTTTACTATTGGTCTCCACAGTGGAGAGATCAGGAGCCAGCGGGACATCTCTGAGTCTGACAGCATGAAACAGAACCTTATTGTGGCAGTGAAGGATAACGGACAGCCTCCTCTCTCTGCCACCTGCTCCATGTATTTACTGATCTCTGATAACTTGGCTGAAGTGCCTGAACTCAAGGACATTTCTTATGATGAGAGGGACTCAAAGCTGACATCCTATCTGATCATTGCACTGGTGTCAGTGTCCACATTTTTCCTCACCTTCATTATTATTGTCCTGGGTGTGAGGTTCTGTCGCAGGAGGAAGCCCAGACTGTTGTTTGATGGAGCAGTTGCAATCCCCAGTGGTTATCTGCCTCCTAATTATGCAGATGTTGACGGCACAGGAACTTTACGCAGCACTTACAACTATGATGGATACATGACAACTGGATCCAGGACAAGTGACTTTAAGTTTGTCTCGTCCTACAATGACAACACACTGCCTGCAGATCAGACACTGAGGAAAAGCCCCACTGACTTCTCTGATGTTTTGGAGATTGTGATGTCTCTCCTGAGGTAAGGAATTGATCTCCAAGTCACATTATACCTAAAACTTTTTCTCTCTGCTTTCAGTTTTGCAATCTTATGAAATTATTATATTTTTAAAAGACATAACATCTTCCTTTTTATAAGCTTCTGTGGTCGGATAAAGAGGCTTCAGAGAGTGTGTATTTACTTCCATTTAATGCCGTATGCACTGAAACACAAGAGACACATTTATGATCACGCTATTCATGTCAAGGCACACTTTACAATTAGGTCACACCTTACAGGACGCATCTAACTTAAAAACGTTTGTTTATCAAAAGAAATATTCACTTAAAGTGACGTTTCTCACCTGAAACACAAGAGACACATTTATGATCACGCTATTCATGTCAAGGCACACTTTACAATTAGGACCCGCGAGGCCCCCCCCCGAGTTGCCTTCCCCTGCCTGCGTGTATCCCCAGCATATCTCCTGTCTACAATCGTATCCATTTCTTGTGTCCATGAAATATAAAAAAATACAATTTCCTTTGTACAAATTTGGTATAAAATAATTTAAAAAATAAAATGAGGTGGGTGGTGCTTTCTACTTCATTACCATTACAGTGCCTGCTTAATACTATTGGTCCCACACTCTCCCCTGCAAAATTAATGGCGTCCCGACATTACACAGTCCATAAATACAGGTCTTCAACTCCAGAGCCAGATCACAAGAATGGGAGTCAGTTGGGAAGGTATCACACGTCCATCAACAGTTCATCACATGGCATATCTCCCTCTTTCACCATGTCTGCGGGCAGACACCACTGGCCAGGTGATGTCTACATATATGCTCTGTTTTACAGGCAAAATACCTTCACTGAAAGATGACACATCTTAAGACTCTTGCCTATGACTCTTGTACAAGCTTTTAATAGGCTGTTACCCAAATATATGTTATCTGCTTGTATGTGTATACTCAAACTGTGCTTTGTCTCAAATTATAAAAGCTGCCAATTTATGGTCAAAGTGCATACGGTGAAACATTTTACTGAACCCAGTGTAGAACAAGTTAACCAATAAACTGATTAAATACTATTCCTAAGTTCTTCTATGTGTGAGAGAAGGCTGACCTAGTGTGTTATAAGTAAGTGTCTGAGGTGGCTTTCTGTGTCTGAAAGGATACTGTCTCAGAGTGGCTGGTTCATCTGCTTCATCAGATGATGCTGCTGAACTCTTGTCTGCTGTGGGACCATCATCAGCCTCTTCATTCACCAACTCCTCCAGCTCGACTTGTGTGTTTTCATCCCCGCTCAGCTGATGGTCTGGTGCACCCCCAGTGTTCTGTCTGGGAAGTTCCTCTCTGATGCTCGTGTCTCGGTGTCTAGGGGTTGGTTGTGGATGGAACTCCTCTGCGCTCACTCTCAATTGACTTCTGATTTGGGTGGGATGCTCTAATGGCTTTGAGATGGTGACTTGCCACTCAGCGTCACTGTCAGAATCTTCTGTGCCTGAGCTCTGATTCTCAGCTTCTCTTACACTTCTCTTCTTCTTTGAGCGTTTCAGGGGTTTTAACATGGCATTCTCATCAATAGGCAGATAGTCGCAGGGCAGCAACAAGTTCCTGTGAATGATACGTGCCTTTCCTGGGCCTCTCTCAGGTTTGATCACATAAACAGGGGTGTCAGGTTTCCTTTCAACTACAAGATGAATGTTCTCTTCCCAATAGGACCTGAGTTTCCCTGGACCTCCTCGCTGAGAGAAGTTGCGCACTAGCACCCTGCTCCCTGGTTGTAGCTCTGCACCATAAGTTTTTCTGTCATAATAGTTCTTTGCTCTAGTCTGTCCTTTAGCGTCACATCTTGAGGCTATCTTGTAAGCTTCTAACATCCGCTTTCGCCACCTGTCAGCGTACTCACTGTGGGATGTGCTTTCCTCATTGTCACCACCAGGGGTCAGGCCAAACACGATGTCAATAGGAAGTCTTGGGCTCCTACCAAAGAGCAGATAATAAGGGGAAAAACCAGTTGCCTCATGACGTGTACAATTGTACGCATGGACCACTTTGTCCAGGGAGCTTTTCCAGTCAGCTTTAGCTTTTTCAGGCAAGTTTCTTAGCATGGAGAGCAATGTTCGATTAAATCTTTCTACCTGGCCATTTCCCGCCGGGTGATATGGCGTTGTGTGTGAACCCTGAATGTCACAGTATTCTTTGAGTTTGTAGAACAGCTTGTTCTCAAACTCCCTGCCTTGATCGTGGTGCAGCTTACTAGGAAACCCAAACTTGAGAACATAATCTCCAAAAATCTTATCAGCTGCTGTCTTGGCTGACTTGTTTGTACATGCATAGGCTTGTGCGAACCTGGTAAAATGATCCATAACTACTAATATGTATTCATAGCCCCCTTTACTTGGCTCTAAATGTAAGAAATCTATTGAAACAAGCTCAAAGGGATGGGTGGTCACTATGCTGGTCAAGGGTGCCCTGGTTGGTTTGTTGGGACGTTTACGTTTGAGGCAACTGCATACCTTGGTCACATAGTGGTCCACATCCCGCTGCATATGTGGCCAGTAGAATCTCTCACGGATGAGGGCCAGTGTCCGCTCTACCCCAAGATGACCCATTTCTTCATGTAGCTCCCTATACACAAGTGGGTGGAATGTTTTAGGTAGAAGCAACTGGGAGCTGGTTGCGGTTTTTCTGTAGATGAGTCCGTTATTGTCAATGTACAGTTTCTTCCTTTCCTTTTGCAGTACAGTTAACTCATCGTGTTGTCCCCTGCCCTTAATATGAGGCCACTGCTTTGTCATCATGTATTTTTTTACTTTCCCAAAAGCTGGATCTTCTTCTTGAGCTCTTTTTAGGTCCTGCTCGGGGATGGTGGCTATTGAGGAAGTCACACGATCGCCTTGTGCACATGCTGTGGAGATTGTGACTGGACACATCCATGGAGTATGGTTCTGTGACTCTGCGTGTACAGCATGGGTTATGGTAGCTATAACATCTGGCTCTACCTCTTTGGAACATGTTAGCATATATTGGTCCATATCAAGTGGCATCCGCGACAGGCCGTCTGCATCCCCGTTCGATCTCCCTGGCCGGTATTTAATAGTGAACTCAAAATCAGCAAGTTCGGCCACCCACCTGTGCATTGTGGCGTTGAGTTTGGCTGACGACAAGACATAAGTTAGGGGATTATTGTCAGTGTAAA